AAATTCCTTAACTAAATATCCTTACTAGCTAAGAGAATTCGAGTGTAATTATGATTTAGTTAATACTAGCAATTTGCTTCTGCATTGTATAAGTAATTTTTTTAAAAATAATTATAAACATACAAACTAAGATAATAATAAATATTTTTATTATTAATAATGGATATTATCATATAATATGTAACATTAAATTAAAGAGAAATGGTTCTTGAATTTGAGAAAGAAATTATAAATAATGTCTTAAAATAAAAACGTACTTCTTTATTGATATTACAAATTGAAAATTTAAAATCAAATTCAAATTGACATTTAGTAAGATTATAATAATTTAAAAACTGAGTTTATCTAAAAATAAAATATATCTTCTACTTGATAAATTATTAATACTAACTCTAAAATATAATTGTTTTTGTGAATTAAAAAATAAATATTATTAAATTATACTGAGTGGTTTTTTATATTATATATGTATTTTTTAATTTAATATTAATTTAAGACTTAAATTTTCAATTATTTAATCTAAAATAATAAATTTTCATCATTAATAGTGATAATATTTACTACTTAAAAAATTTTAAAAAATAAATATTATAATTATTAACAATAAATAAATAAGTAAAATATAAAATAATATTCAATTAAAATAATGAAAGATTAACCCCTAAATTACTCTCATGCAAGAATTCTTCTTAAAAATATTGTATTTTATAATTAATTATTCATAATTTATATTTAAATATTAATTAAAGTTAAATTTTAAAAAATATTTGTAAAATAATAGTAAAAATAATAATATTCAATGTACAAGTGACGAGACTTAAAAATGGCTTTTTTATTTAAATAATACTCCTTTCAAAATTATTTTAAAAAATAGGGCATATGTGAAACAATTTTTCTGTCTAGTGTTATTTCTTGCGAAATCAACAAGTGTATTGTCCCTGCATGTCTGATAACATTTTTATTAATATTTTAATTTACTATCGAGCTAAGATGGTCGATACAAATAAATAAGATGACACATGACTATTGAAAAATCAACAAAAGAAAAAATAAAAAAATTTAAAATATCGAAAAAAAAGTAGATACACGCCAGTTGTCGATCGTGTCTATTTAATCGATAATAATATCGGATGAATTGAAACAATAATGCTGATGTCGGTCAAAGTCCGTTAGCAATATCAGAGTAATAAAAATGATAATAAACCTAACAATTATAGTATCAGAGTACTAGAAACGTAGTATACCTGACAATTATTTATCTACTGGTCTACTACGTTGATGCATTCTTTTATCCATTTGATTAAGCTGTATAAATATAGAGCATTCCGTAAATGGAGGAAATTTCAACAGGATCTACGAGGGAAAAAGTTTATACTAAGGTTAGTCAATTTTACAATTTTGTTTCTTTAATTTTTAATTATTAGATTTAATTGTTTTTTTAAATTAGTAGAAATTTGTGTGAATATGAAATTGTGAGAAAGTAAAATTATATTTAATTATAACTGAAACTTAAAATTTTCAGAACAATTTTAGACAAGTTTTTAAGAAAGGAAGGAAATATAATAGAAATAATGTAAGGAGTTCTTGTAATGCATATTACCCAGTAACTTGTTTAAAGTAGTGAAAAAAAATTTGTAGATGTTAATTGTTAGCTATAAAATGCTATAGAAAAATATAGAGAAAATGAAAAAAATTAAGGCATATTAGTATTACTTATGGGTAGCTAGTTATTTTATAAATTTTGGTAAAGTAGTAGTTGCTAAAAATAAATAAATCTAATAATAACTAAATAATTAACTATTTTCTAACATTCTACATTACATATATTAACAATTAAAAAATTACTAAATCTAATAATAACTAAATAATATTTCTTAATAAATTGCATTTTGAACATTTTATAAATAATATTACAAAAATAATTCTAAATTATTTATAAAATACTAAAAAAATATGAAAGTTTTACTGTTTACTAATCTATATTACCGGCAAAAATGTTTTGATCCTTCACTACTAGCACAACACCTGAAAAATTCATATAAACACTTGTTTTTTTTAAACCAAATAAATATTACTTATTTTACAAAACTACATTTACCTCTTTGATTTGTCAAACAAAAAGCGTAAAAACACACTTTGGTTGACACAAATTTCTCACAACTTCTTCTGAAAATTTTTTATAGCAGCGTTAATAGAAGAAACTTACGAGGAGAGGAAGAAGAAGAGAGTTAACAGTACGATCAAATAGATATGATACTACTAGCTCATGGACATGCGGTGTGTATCAATTTTTTTTTGCCGATACTTTAAATTTTTTTATTTTTTTTGTCAATTTTTCAATAGCTATATGTCATTTTCGGCACTTATATCGACCGCCTAATAAGAAATAACACCAATAAAATTGTTTCACAAATTTCCTAATTTTGAAAATAGTTTTAAAAGAAGTATTATTTAATTAAAAAGGCCCTTAAAAAGAGGGACTTATATTTATAACACTGGAGGTTACTTTAGACTAAATCAAGATAATAAAGGTATTGTAATATAAGAATAATTAATATTTTGAAATAAATTAAAATCGTTAAATTGATAATTAATTTAAAACAAACAATATTAATATTTTAATTTTATAATAATGATTACTTTATTATTCTAATTCATTTCAAAATATTTATTATTTTAAAATATTAATAAAATACCATCACATATTAATATCCCACCAATATTCAAATAATTCATAATTTCATTCTATTTTTAATAAGTTCATTTTTCATTAAAAGCATGTAATTTTATCATAAAATTCTATGCAATGATTTTGTTTTTAACTTGAGACAAAGAAATTACTGGATATACATATGCTTAACTCAATGACCTTTTTTTTTCTTTTAGATTTACGCTTGGCTTAAGGAAAAAGGAGAGACAAACAATTTCTTTAATTTTATCTAATCTGATTCATAAATTAAAAAAGGAAAGAGAAACTTTTCTCTCTCTCTCATGCAATATTAAAAAATTTGAGTGAAAAAAAAATGTTGTTATGTGGTGACATTATTATTCTTCAAATTTTATCTTCCCTCTCCGTTAATATTTGTAAGGATTTAATAATATATTATTGATTTTCTTGTCAAGGAACCTTCTCTTCTCCTTTGAGTTCAACAAAGTATATTTTTCTTTCTTCCTCTTCGTTAAAAATTATTCCCTTTCTTTATTTTTTTTAACCATTATCAATAGATATTTAATAACTCAACCTAGATATTTCTTAAAAGAAAATTAATTAACAATATTAATTGATAAGTAAATAATATTATTTACTTATAAATATATTATTTGCTCAAATCATAAAGTTAAATGCATTATTAGTTTTTAATATGTTAACAATTTTAATTTTTCTTATTTTAACCTATCAATCAATACTCTGAAGGCATGTTCGAAATAAAATGTTTTTATAATTAGGTTGGTACCTGACATATAAATAAAATTCTTTGATTAAAAAGTTTCAAAATAGAAATTCATTTATCTTAGAAAATTTTAATTATGTGCGAATAAAAATTCATTTGAATTTGGTTGAAGTTGATGTATTATTTTTAATTGATTATTAATGGTCGTTTAGCTTTTTTATTTGTATAAATTTTATCTAATTGACTAACATAATTGTATTAATAAAGAAGATGAATTTAATTTTTGTTCACAGTTAATATATTTATAGTATACATTAATTATAATATATCACAAATATAAATTTTAAATTAAATATTAAAAAAAATAAATTTTATTAATATAATAATTTATAATTAAATATCAGTATAAAATATCCACCCTATTTGTAATATAAATTATTTTTTAATAAAAATAATCCACCTACAAATTGTCAGTAGATAATTTTTGTTTTTCAGTGAATAAAAGATTGATGTGATTTAAATTAATTTAATGAAAATAATTAATTGACAAATTGTCAGTAAATATTTTTTTAAGTGAGTAAAAGGTTAATTAAATAAACCAATCTTTGTTAGGTTTAGAGTTTCGAAGTTTATTACTAGTTTTACTTTTTTAATAAATAAAATAAAATGATACATTAATGAAGTAATAATATTTTATTTGTTTAAAAGAGTAACTTGTGTTACAAATAAAAGTATTTAATAATATAATTTATTGTTGCATAATTACCTTATTTAAATAGCAATTATTTTAAAATGTAAGTAATGAAATATTTATCATAACAAATAAATATAAATACACCTAAATTTAATTTGAACTTTATAATAAGATTAATTTTATTTTCAAATTAAGTCAGTTCATTTCAAATGAAAAGTCTCATTAAAGAAAATGAATAAAATTAAATGAAAGGTATAATCATAGTATTCATCTTAAACTTTATTTTATATGTGATTGTAATCCTTTTAATTAATTTAATTTTTCATGTGTATTTTTATAATTCTAAAATATTCAAATTAAATTTTCATCATAAATATTTTATGATAATTAATGAAAATATAATAATAATAATAGTTTATATACATTGATTAAAAATATGTAAAATATTAAATGAAAACAAAATTATTAATGTTAAAAAAATAATACTTTAAAGTCATATTTATATTTTTATTATTTTTATACAAAGTTTAACATAAAAAACTAAAATTGAAGTATAAAATTAGAAGTATAATTAAGCAATAAAATAGCGATTAAAAATTAAAAAGAATAAAAGACACATAAGCGCACGTGTATTTTTATCTCCTATGAAACGAATAAAATGCGGAGGCCGATTCACGATACGTGGGATGCAGCAGCTTCTTAGATTATGTTGACCAAGTCCGTGACGCAAATCTTGTCACTACAGTTACTGTGACGTACGAGATTGCGTAACAGCCGTTGACGTTAGAGTCTTTGCCTTTTATTTTTTATTTTTATATTACCCACTTAGTACTCACGCTCCCAATTCTGTTCCCAAGGGCCACTCTCTCTCTCTCTCTCTCCCTAGCTTTCTCTCTCTCTATGCCATCACCACCATGCACCAAGCAATCCCCGCCAGCACACGTCTAAAGCAACCGGAAACCGCCGTCGCCGGAGGAATCAGCGATGCCAATGGCGTGGACGCCGCCAGCGTGATCAAAATGGTTTCGGAGAACGCGGTGATAGTAATTGGGACACGTGGGTGCTGCATGTGCCACGTGGTGCAAAAGTTATTACATGGTCTGGGAGTGAACCCTCCCGTGTACGAGGTTGACGAGGGGGACGTGGCTGTCGTTGCCGGCGAGTTGTCTAGAAAGATTGTTAGTTTCTGCGGCGGAGATGACGGCGGAACTGTGGAGTTTCCGGCGGTGTTCGTGGGTGGAAAGTTGTTTGGAGGGCTGGAAAGAGTGGTGGCCACCCATATCTCGGGTGAACTGGTTCCTATACTAAAAGATGCTGGGGCCTTGTGGCTTTGACTATAGCCGATTCTCCAATTTGAGCATGTTGTTGCTCTCCTCTTTTTCTTTTTTTTTTCATTATCATTCTTATTTTCACATTTTGGAGAGACCAATTAATTGTAGTTGAATTATAATTATATTATAGTTCGTTCTCCTCGATTTGCTGTTTTATTTTTCACTTTATTTTCCTGTCTCCATGAAAAAAAAAAAAAAAAAACTCTGTTTAGCTGGAAAGGTAGAAAAAGAGGTTATGTATATTCCTTCTTTATTGGGGTTTAGTAGAAAAAGAGGATTTCATCATTTTCGCATAATTACTTTGAAAAGAGATGAGGTGATACACGTTTAATTTTTCTTCTTTGTTATATATAGTCTATCAAGCTACCTCTAAATCAGTGGTTTGACTGGGTTCAGTGCATCACCCCTTAATTGGGAAGTACATTTTAAAACTGTTCTTCATTTATAATAAAATATATTCATAAATACTATAATCTAATAAAAGAGTTATTGCACCTGAAGGTGAGATTTCTCATAGTGTGTATTTTTTTTTCCAAATATTTAGTATTTTATGTTATATATTTCTCAAAATCTTTTTTATTTTAAATTGTTTTCAAATTTTTATGTTAGAATTTCTTCCTTCTAAATCTTATAATTCCCTCTTACGTATCATATTTGACACAAGAAAGAAAGAAAGAAAGAAAGAAGAGTAAATATAAAAGCATTGTAAAAATCAAGTCAGTGTATATTATGACAAAATAACAATATATGTAACAAGGCATGCCATTTATATAGGGATCAAATGTGAGTGAGTCACAAGTGGAATATAAGAACTCTCATGAAGTAAGGGTTATATATATAATCACAGAATATTTGAGAAATTCTTGACACATGGGAGGTGAACTGGTAACTCAGATAGCTGTAGGCAAATAAAGTTTTGTGAGTAGTAGGCCAAGATGTTTAGCAGGCCTCAATTGACATGCAAATTACTAAATAGTTGGTGGTATTCGGCCCAATCTTACTAGCAATTTGTTTGGATCTAATGAACAAATCAAGATTGTTGAGAGAAAAAAAATTACAGATTGAGTTGGGATTAGTTTGAAAATAATATCAAATTTAAATCAATCCAATTCTATATTTTGCAATTTAGATTGTATTTGAAGTTTTCAAACATTATATTGCAAGATATTTTTTATGGATTAAAGTTTTCAAAGACATGAAGAATTAGAGAGTTGAATATTATAAACTTTATTAAGAAGATCATGAGAAAGTCATCGCCAATATCAATGACAAGAAAATTTGAGAGCATAACACTTATCTCACTTGGCAAAAAAGCATTGGACACTACATAATGTATTTTGAATGGTTGAAAAATATCTCTAATGCCTGGTTTTTAAAATAAAAGATTAACTACACATATAAAAAGCTTAAAAAGAATTATGCAGCTATGAATATTGCAGATCAATCTCGTTTATTGAAATTTTGTTGATCAATTTGTTAATTAATATTAGTGAACAATTTCCTTATATCCATATATGTTGTGCCTTTATTTGTTAGGTTAATTAAGGCTGTTTCTCACTTTTAGGCACTCGTTGAGTACATAAGACTCAAACATCAAAATCAAGAATGTTGATAAAACCATTGATAGAAGAATACCATTGTTTAACCTATAAAGGTTTCAAAATATTGATAAAGAGACTATTTTGAGAATATCTTTTGTGTAATCAAATTGATTATAATAAATATTTTTTTTTTATCTAGTATGGGAACTAAATGTTATCTTTGATATTTGAAAGTGATTTGGGATAATTTACTGTTGTTATGCTCTCTTTTTACCTTTTGTTATCTTTTTTTAACTTATAATGTCACTCTTCATAACTTGCTAAACAAATTTATGAGCTGAAATATCACATCTTGTTGATCGAGGTTCTGAATATAACAAACATATAATTTTTTTTTGTCCTTGATCCAATCCATTTGAAAAACCTCTTATCAAAACCTTATTTGAACATAAATATTGTATTGTGCATTAGTCACACTTTTATATTCCACTGTTAGTGCATTGTTTTTTAAACAATTCCTTAAATTTGTAAGATTAAGAAATACTGCATAATCTTTTTTGATATTGACTCGTGCTTATTAATGCTAAGTTGTATAAAAATAAGTTGGACTAAATGCGAAGTTATTGTATTTTATATTAGATTTAGGTTAGCTTTATGTTTAGGCTTACTTGATTTGACTCCATTGATGTTTTCAAAGTTTTTCCTTTTATTTTTAAATTGAATCATGTAACTGTATCCAATAATACTTAAATTTATATATTCAACAAAATATTACATTGCAAGACTTAATTAAGCATAGAAGAATGATTCAAACATTATATTAATGAGGTTGAATAAACAAAATTAAATATAAAAAGTTGATTCAAACATTATATTAATGAGGTTGAATAAACAAAATTAAATATAAAAAGTTGATTCAAACATTATATTAATGAGGTAGAATCGGGTATACAGGCCTTGACATGGGCGTTGACTTGCCAGCTTGAGGCTGAAATGAGTAGCTCATTTAGCTGCATATTTATTTGAGTTGGGATGTACTTGTGGATTAAAAACATCGACCCTATTATTCGCAGGTCCAATTGTTATATAGCAAAACCATTTTAATATTTCAAAAATTAAATTACACTTTTAATATTTTTTATTTATTTTAAAATAAAAATAAAGTTTAATTTTGACAAAAGATCAATAATGTGAAAATTTGTAAATGGTTAATTAAAAAACATCAAAGGTGTATATTTTTAAAAAATAATTATTATAAAAATAAAGATTTTTAATGTTGTATTAATAAATATTTTATACCCTTTTACACATAGAACAATTATTAAATTTAATTTTATATTAATAAACAGTGAAATTAGTAATTTAAAAAAAAACATAAATATCTTTTAATCTTTATAATATTAAAAAAATCACAACTATTAATATAAAAAGTATATAAGGTCCTCTAAAATTTTTGGGTACCATAACAAATATTTTAATTAAATGATATTACAAAAAAATATGATATTAACATATTTTTATTGAATTCAAAAAAATATAAGTAAAATTAAACAAGCAAAAGATTAAAAACAGTGCGGCCCAGCTAACAAACCTACCGATTTTTTGTTGGTCAATAAAAAGTGCCTATTTAATATCGGACCAATGTAGACTTCGAAAGTATAATTGGGCCTAAATAAAGTCCATACCGTGGCAAGGTTAAATCCATGAAAAGAAAAAGACCAAAAAATAAAAAAACATAAGTGCTTGCTTTATGCTCACGCAGTGGTCCCGTTGATGCAACCTGAAATTCAGAAAAGCGAAGAATTTACAAAGCAAAGCACACCGCCACTACTCTCTATCTGAGTCTCCCTGTCTTAACTCTGAACTTTGGCTTTTGTTTTCCCTCGCCAATTTTAAACCGTCCCAAAAGAAAAAGATAAATAAATTAATGCAATACGTAATAATATAATAGTTACTCCAGAAACCAAGCCATAAAAGAGAGCACAGAAACAGAGAAAGAGGAACAAAAAGCGGAAGGAAGAAAGGAAGGATGCTAAAGCTTTTCAACCGAGGCAGGGACAGCCCCGCCGCCGATGCATCACCGCCCTCTGCGGCGGCGGCAACGCCGTCATCTTCGTCAGCCCCTCCGGTCACCGGTCCTGCGAGGCCTATACGCTTCATCTACTGCGACGAGAAGGGAAAGTTCCGGATGGATCCAGAAGCCCTCGCTACTCTCCAACTCGTCAAAGAGCCTATCGGTGTCGTCTCCGTCTGTGGCCGTGCTCGCCAGGGCAAGAGCTTTATCTTGAATCAGGTGATTTTCCAGTTTGAGTCAAAATATTTTCCGTTTTTGGAGGTTAGGGTTTTGGATTGTAGTGTTGCTAATGGTACTTAGGGTTTTGACTCATGGATAGTGGTCAGTGGTAACTGTAGATTTCCGCATGTTTATGCGCAACACACTGTTTGTGACTCACGCATTAGAAGGTTTTGGTTAATTTTAGGATTCGTTCAAAAGTTTTTGCAGGTCGATTTTGAGGATAACCTAATTTGAGTGCAAAATAAGCTGTTGCAAACCTAGTTGTTGGATGGTATTAGGGAGCGTTCCGGACTAACTCTTAGACCACAGTGGGGAAGTAGCATTGTGATTTTGACTGGCTGCTTGTTTTCTTTATTCATTTACAACTAACAGAGTCTGGGTTGTTTCCTTTCGGTGCGAGTTGAAATTGGAAGAAAAATACTTTGAGACTTCATTTTACGCCATTGAATTGTTTTCTTGACTGAGAACATTTCGAACTGTAATTCTTGCTGTTGTCTCAATCTGAGATGTAGCTTTTCTACTGTCATTATTTCTTCTGATCTTGAAATGAAATAACTAAATAAGCGAGACATTTAGTTATTATTGTTTGTATTATAGATTTTCAGATTATGCTTTTTTATTACAGCTCCTAGGAAGGAGTAGTGGATTTCAAGTAGCATCAACGCATCGACCATGTACGAAAGGGCTTTGGTTGTGGAGTACACCTTTGAAGAGGACCGCTCTTGATGGAACTGAGTACAATCTCCTGCTATTAGACAGTGAAGGAATAGATGCTTATGATCAAACGGTTAGCTTTTCAGTTTTCTTGATGTTTAGATACATGCTTATTTTCTTGTGTACAATGATGTACTTAGTCAATTTCTAATCATGGCTATCTTGTCTTACACTGCAATTTTTTTACCATACAGGGAACATACAGCACCCAGATATTCTCATTGGCTGTCCTTTTGTCTAGCATGTTTATTTATAACCAGGTTGGCAAAGCTATTGAAACCTATATTTATGTTGGCATAGTTGTTTTTATGTTTTCCTTGGTTTTGACATTTCGTGATCTACTTGTGAGTCTGTTATAGAGCATGGAACTTTATTCCCCTCTTCTCCCTTCGTATCTGGATTTCTTGCTGAAATTGGAAAGCTGACACTATTTATTTTGCTCAGATGGGTGG